GACTTCAGGAGACGTTCAGGACGACTCAGCATAGCTGTAAAAGTAAAAAAAAAAAGTTACTGTGATTGACAGAAGTTATTAGTATTTTACTACAAGTATCACAGTGAACATGTAAGACTTATATTTCACAATCAAACTTGAAAGCTGAATGATTTTACCAGTCACGGATGTTAGTAAGATTCAATAATTACTGGAAATGGTGTCATTTTCATCATTAACCCAACAAAATCATTCATTCTCAACAATACCCCAACACTTTACACTTATTTTGTGCAATACAGAAACCTCCCATATTACATAACAGATGCTTTCCACACATCATTTTGTCACCCACACGTTTTGAGAAGAGAGACCCCGTCTCGGTATTTAGTTTTAATACCTTTATTACATCCAGCGCAGTTCTGCACACAACAGGGACTCGGACACTGTGACCGCAGGGCTTCAGCATTGACAGACTAGTTTCCACATAATTGCTCATGATGACAGACTGACAGCTAAGAAGGGAACACAATTCCAAGTTAATCTGCTCAACATTTACTGACGGCACAGTTCACGCTAGCCCTATGCTAAGCACAAGAGGCAAAAAGGTGGAGGAGATGGCAGGTGCGCCCCTGGCAGGCCCCCCACGTAGCGGTCACTTCCCCTGGAGACAGTGGACAACGGGGGGCCTTCCAGAGGACACAGGTTGTCTGCAAATCCTCAGCAAACAAGGAATGGCTCACGCTAAGTCTTGCACATATCTGGGTAACTCTGTGTTTCAGATATATGCTGCTAGTATGGTGATTAATGTCACATTTATTTAAAAACATTCCTGAATGCAGATTAGCTGTCGGTCATTGTCCCAAGCGGCAGATACTGATTGGGAGGAGATTTAAGCAAAATATTTATACATTAAAAGAAGTACACATGGGGCTGCCCTGGTGGCGCGGTGGTTGAGAGTCCGCCTGCCGACGCAGGGGACGCGGGTTCGTGCCCCGGTCCGGGAGGATCCCGCGTGCCGCGGAGCGGCTGGGCCCGTGAGCCACGGCCGCTGAGCCTGCGCGTCCGGAGCCTGTGATGCGCGACGGGAGGGGCCACAGCGGTGAGAGGCCCGCGGACCGCAAAAAAAAAAAAAAAAAAAAAACACGGGAAAAAACTGTAAACCTCCAATGTGAAAATTTTAAAGTTTTAAGAAAATCGAAAGCTTTAAGAGTCAAGAAAGATTTTTGGAAAGAGAGGCTGTTATAGGAATCTTCGAAGAATTATTTGCACCTCTAACCTGTACCTAAGGTACAAACGTATTGCCCAGGTTGGACAAAGGACATAAAATATTTACTTCTCTTATGTAAAGAGGATCATTATAAACCACCACACTTACGGAGTGCAAATACTGACCAGGAACCAGATTGTTTTTGTTAACCTAAGGCTTACCACAATTTTCTCTCCGAGGACCTTTAGCCTAGAGCAGAGGAGCTGCCCCCCCATGACTAAGGGCCAGCCCAGAGCCCCGAAGGACTGCTGCAACGCTCAACAATTCTTTGAAGTCTCCTGTTTTATCTTAAAAATTTGTGAATTTTGCATTCTCTTCCGTAATATTTAATTACTTGTTTAAAATGTGACCTTCTAAATTACTGTACTGTTTCCTCAGATTTTTCTAGAAAACCGACGTTCAAAGAATACAGGTCCTGCT